TCTTCCCACACATGTTCCTTCTCTGGTACGACCCCTCGTCTTTCCCTATCCCACCTGCCATCTCCTCACGCTTTATCAACTTCCCGCCACTTTTTTTAAAATTTTTTCTTGGTTTTTTTACTGAACGGAACTGTCCTCACGCCTGAGGTGGTGCACTGGAAACGGCAAAAACCAAGTAAATTCAACAGAAAGAACATTTTTCTCAAAGGCACATGGTTCCCTCCCTTCCTCCAGCGAGCAAATACGGCCTCTCCCCCTCGTTGGGGATTCCCAACCTGCGACGTGGTTGATTGTAATGGTAATGTCGTTCTTAACTGCATCATAATGGTTCGTTCATGCTCGTACTATTATTTACTACGCACGTTCATACTCAGTGAATGTGGGGAATCCGGGGCTGAAAATCTGTTTGGGGTCGATTTACTAGACTCACTTGCGTATCCTTTCAAATCGCGCATCCCTTTCAAGATTCTGAGCAGACTTTGTCGTTCAAAGTCGGTTGACTCTCCTCTCAGGCTAGAGCATCGAGATGGGAGGAAATTTGCCAACTTCGCGAATTTTCCTACATTTTTTTCCTATAAAACTTTGACCGCGCCGCCGACTTAAAAAAAGATGTTTATAGCATACATGAAACGGGGAAAGCCTTGAAAAAAAACAGTAGCTTAGCTTTTTCAGATGCTCGGAAATATCTGTGGAGCTCTTATGCGACTCACATCAATCAGATATAACCACCCTTCCCCAGCGACTCATAGGACTCTCTGATGGGATTCTCCCTATGATGCTGTCTGTACCTTGCCTCCTCAGAGCTTTGTCAAGGGTTCACCCAAATCGCAAGTTTTCCGGATCGACAGATACTCTTCCATAAGTCCATAACGCAGCATAGAGCCAGTTAGCGCTTCGGTCGCGCGTTCGACGCGATCGATGCGCATACTTTCGACTGCATTGATCGCGTCGAACGTGCGACCGAAGCGCTGCCGTCGCGAAGTCTGACGGATGTTCTTTTGCGGATGTCCGTATGGGATACGGCAGAGCTATTGCACGGTCACTCTGGCTTCCGCAGAAAAACTCCGTTGTTCCACTAGCTTAGGTCAAAGCATACGTTTAAATGCAGCGCCTCAATAACTGACAGGCTATGGCAGAGTGCGTGATCGACTAGTTCCCCCTGTAAAATCCCAAGTAACCTTTCTATCTTAAAAGAATCTATTTCAGTCTGTTGTGGAACCGTGGTGGATTGTATGTGCTGGAAGTATTCTAGAAGCAGATATCAAGGTTGGATTCAGAGAGTTTGCTGCAATCTTGTCCACATTGCCGTTGTGGACAAGATTGCAGCAGACTTCAGTTTGGAGTTCAACCAATATTCCAGGTACTAACGGAGGATGAACGGCGTGTAGTAGATTCCATTTTGGATGAAGGACCTCAACCTGCCGGATTCTTGCCCGTACCAGTCGTTCAGTCACTGCTCAACAGAGGACTGATATACGTGGATGTTCCAGTCGAAGAATACGATTACGTTTATGGTAAGTGGCTCTTTTACTAAATTCTGAGTCAACTCAAAAGAGTACGCTATTGTTTTGCGTCAGCGCTCCGAGCGTGCGTTGGCGTACGCACGAACGCCGACGCAAAGTATGAACGCACTTAGAACCTTCTCCAATGTTGTCAGTAGTTGTAGTTGTCTTCCAGTGCAAGAATTGTTTATTGTTGCTTCAGAACTCTTCTCTGTTTATTTGAGAAATCTCCCACAATTAGCTAGCGAGCACAAGGAGGCCGCAAAGGCGCTCGCTAGCAACTTTGAGCCGCACCATTGCCGTTCGCGGTGATTGTCGGCTTATTCTCTCACTCTCAGCATTGTGCTCTCAATTACCTCTTAAATTGTCTAATTTTTTTGACTACCCCAGTCTTTCTACAGAAGGCGAGCTTTTACCGGGTTTTTTTTTCCTAAGCAGATATTGCGCTTGACGAAATATCGCCACCCGTTGTCCAAGAGCTGCCTTCATCTGTGCGCTGCTGTTAATGGCTAAGCGTTGGACTTGAAGGAAATCTCATTCATTTTAGTCGTGGCGCCTTATGCCGCCAAGTGGCGAAAGGGTTTAAATTCATGTCACGTTAATTAATGTTAGTGACCGCGGTACCGAATAACCCCATTATGCAAGTTTACACCGATTTTGATAAGAAAAGTGCTGGCGCCAGATTGGCGCGTAATGGCGTCAAAATGCTTTAGCTTCGAAAGCGAATGTCAAACTGGTGATCAGGGAATCGAATTAACCTTATGGGTAACGTTTCACAAAAAAATATTTTGAGTTTTTGGGGTCGTGATAGTTCAATAGTACCACGTCTTTCTATCAGATTTGTCCTGTTGGCCTCTTATTAAAAACTTTGAAAAGTACGTGTTTCAGTCGCACCTCTAGACGGATTTGTGATGAACCGCGTACTGGGAGACTATTTCGAAACGCTGCTTTACAAAATATTTGTAGCAATTGATGATCAAACCACTGTTAAGGAGGTGAGTCTACGAACTGTTTGCTCATTGTTCTCTCTTTTAACAGGTTACATCATCGCGCTGTGGCAAACCTTTGTCTAGTACGTCCCCCCACCTAACCGTCCGTGTATTTTCACTTTGGATAACATGCCTGTCTGGAAGTCATACAAGTTTTCCTCCTATTTTTTTCTCAGAGCATGTTCACACTTCGCGATGGCGTGATCGGATTGCACGACTGGATCGCGCGATCAAAAAGTATGAACGCGTCCTTACTTTCTTTTTCTAACCTTGCCAAAATTCAGTAGCTTCAAGAAGAATCCGTACTTCTGATGCACC